GGCTGCTGTAAGTGGGTCCTTAGCCCAGGCCTTACAGCACGCCTGCCCGGCGCTTGTTGCTGTTGAGGGGCACATCCATTTCTGGAATTCAGTTGACATCAGTCTTCCATTAGACGCGACGCGCCACAACGACCGCTACCACCATCTTTACTTACTCGTGATAACGGCAGCACTGGAGGGCTCCTCCTGGCTTCATCGTCGATCCAGCTACCTTAGGTCTCAGGTTGATGCTCTCACGAAAATGCTCTGAAAGAGAATAGTCAGGTTAACTCCCGGTCAATGCAAATGCGCCCCGGTCCACGGCCATGGAGAAATTCCTGCGGGACTGGCGGCAGGATGCCTTGAACAAGGCGCAATACGAGTCGGCCATCTTCATCGGCGACAAACTGCTCGCTTTGACCGGTATGTCCCTGGATCTACATATGAAGCGGTGGTGACTCAAGGACCACATGATCTTCTACGAATGCATCGTAACTGACCCGATAAACCTTTCTTCAGGCGACGACAAAGATGCCTTCTGGCTCGCACAGGTCCACTTCGCGACGGGCAACTATACTCGTGCCCAGTCGCTGCTGTCCAAGTCTGATCTGATTGCCCGCAACCCTTCCTGTCGCTACCTGAGTGCCCATTGCCTCGTGAAGCAATCGCGTTTCGACGAAGCCCTCGCTGTGCTCGGCGAGCGAAACCCCATACACCTAATACCGACGGCAGCGAACAAGCGCAAGACACAGAACAACACCACATCATCCTCCTCCTCCGGCCGAGCTGCGCCGGCCGAACGCAGCAAGAATGGCGCTGCGAAATCTGCAGCAGAGAGGGTAGGCACTCCGGTGCAGGACGAGACGGCGGCAGAGGAGGCCGCGAACCGACGCTACGAGGCAGGCATGTGCTATCTGCGAGGCATATGTTACGCCAAGCAGAATGCCTTTGACCGGGCAAAGGACTGTTACAAGGATGCTGTGCGCATCGACGTGCAGTGCTTCGAGGCGTTTCACCAGCTCACCAAGAATTCGTTGATGGCGCCGGACGAGGAGTGGGACTTCTTGCAGTCCCTGAACTTTGAGTCGATATCCATCGAAGGCGACGCCGACGTGTCCTCCGAGGCAGCGGACTTCACAAAGATGCTCTATAGCACTCGACTATCCAAATACCGCAACCCCGAGGCATTCACCACGGCCTCGGAATGCCTGGCCTCGCACTACAACCTGGCCACGAATCCAGACCTTCTTCTGGCCCGTGCAGACTTGTTATACACGCAGTGTAGATACAAGGATGCGCTCGCCATCACGAGTTCTATTCTCGACGACGATAAGTACAACTTTAGCATATACCCTCTACACCTGGCTTGTCTGTACGAATTGAGGCGAAAGAACGTTCTGTTCCTTATCGCTCACGACTTGGCGGACAACCATCCAGAAGAGCCATGCACGTGGCTGGCCGTGGGCATCTACTACTTTTCCATCGACAAGGTCGCAGAGGCGCGGCGCTACTTTAGCAAGGCCAGTATGATGGACGCTCACTTTGGACCTGCGTGGATAGGGTTCGCGCATACCTTTGCCGCAGAGGGCGAGCATGACCAGGCCATCTCGGCCTACTCGACGGCAGCCCGGCTCTTCATGGGCACGCACTTGCCGCAAGTCTTTCTGGGGATGCAGAACCACGCGATGAACAACATGACGGTGGCCGAAGAGTTCCTCAAGACGGCGTACGGGTTATGCAAGGAAGACCCGCTGCTGCTCAACGAGATGGGGGTCGTGTGCTACCACCAGGACCGGCCGAAGGAGGCGGCGCTCATGTTCCGCAAGGCGCTCGAGGTGGCGGACGACATCGACAGCGACCCGACGGCCTGGCTGGCGCCGCGGACGAACCTGGCGCACGCGTACCGCCGCATGCGCTTCTTCAAGGAGGCGCTGAAGCAGTTCGACGAGGTGCTGCGGCAGGGCGGGAAGGACGCGGCCGTCTTCTGCGCCAAGGGGCTCATCCACCTCGACCAGGGGGAGCCGGACGAGGCGGTCCGGGTGCTGCACGAGGCGCTCGCCATCAGCCCGCAGGATCCCATAGCGACGGAGCTGCTGAACAAGGCGCTCGAGGAGACGGCCGACGCGGACCTCGGGGTCGGGCAGCCCGGCGCCGCGGGGGAGGAGCCTGGCGCCGTCGAGGCGGAGATGGTGGGCTTTGAGAGGGAGCTGCTGCAGAAGCGGCAGGTCGCGCGGGCGAGGATCGCAGGCGGCGGCGGCGGCGGCGCTGGAGGGAGGCACGCTGCCAGCAACGGGGCGGCGGCGAAGGGGAAAGGCAAGGAGCGGATGATGGTTGGTGGTGGTGGTGGTGGTGGTGGTGGTGGCAGGCGACGGGCGGTGCTTGACGATGACGACAGGGGGAACAGCAGCATGATGGAAATGAGTTAGATCCAAGTTGCTTCGGGTACTGGTGCTGCTTTAGTTGGTACTCTAATGATATGCCACATGATTCTTGGACGTAAATGATTCCTTCTCCCTGGAAGCTCAGATCTACAGCTGTGTCAGGGTGACTTCAGCCCCGAAAAGTGAAACTATCTGAGGATCAGCCTCACCAGATAACTTATGATATGACGTAGATTCATCCAGCTGTACAAGTTGGCCTCATACTCCCAATTTTTGATCTTGACTCATCTTGAATGAGGCCGAGTGACTGTTTTCCGAGCAATGGGATGCGCCTGCCTGTGCTTGGGCTGTGCCTGCCTATTGTTCGTGTTAGTGAAGTCGCAATCGAGGCCCGGAAGGCACGTGCGTCCAGTGTGTGCCCCACCTCACCAGGCACAAAAGTGACAGGGCGGTGCCCGGCGGCAGAAAGCAGATTTGCAGGCTCGCATGGGCCACCCGAGCCCGGTATAAATATCCCGCCTGGCCCCCGAGCTTTTGGGATTTTTCTTCCCCTTTTGGTTCTCCATCCTAGTGCACGGGCGTGACGCAAAGCAGTGAGGATTATTCCGAGCTTGCGTTTTTGCTAGTTGAAAACTATACTATGACCACTCCTGTCGGGCTTCGGCCTGGCAGGGAATTTTTGGCACCTTTTTTTCCCCATTTATCGGAAGCACTTTTTCGATGGAGAGAACTTTTTTTTTCTTTCATTGCCAACGCTCCCTGGCTTGGAGTGTGGTGAAGAAGGAGAAGGAGGAGGAAAAGCAACAATACCGTCTTGGGGAAAGCGATGCCTACATCTATAAATCGTCGAGGGGGTTTTTGAGCAGATCGCTGGCATGGCGGCTGGGGAAACTCGAAGAAGCTGTATAGGTACACTGTTTTGTGTGGCGTGTGAGGTGCTGGCGATGTTCGGATATTTGGTCTTCTGGTGGGCGCGTTCTGCTTCCATCACGGCGCAGCTAGCTCATTTATCTGCTTCTCAAAGAAAGTACCAATCATGTCGATATTACGATGCAGAGAACGGGAGGCTTTCAAGACCAAGTTCGAGCTACCCTGCATTATGTCCAGTTTTGCTATTTTGAGCTTGCGGGTAGGGTTTTTAAGCCTCACCAGTATCTGGCAGGGACTCGCGTGCACCATTATCCGAGGCAAGGAGCAAATAATCTTCGAACGGCTGCTGCTGCAGTAGTAGTAGCCGTTGACAGTTCATGCCTGTCAATGTCGATCCGCAGCTCTATGCGATGTACAAGCCGTTCGTAGCCTTCGTGATACCACGCCCCGGTACTCAGCTGTACAAGTAGTTATGTTTTGATCTAGACACACACTCAAGTCAAAGCTCGGCTGTGGCACCGGTTGCCTGGCACGCCTGGCACTCTGGCCCGCCCAGTCGAGGTTGGATCAAGATCAGTGGGGTGGCGCCTGGGGCACTGTCCCTTCGGCAGAGTCGCGTACTGTGCAAACTGGGCTGTACCTAACTAAGATCTTGGCCCAGTGTGGACTTGGGATAGCAGAACCGGCACTGGGATGCTTCAAAGGTCAATCACCGTGTCTAATTATTATCTCATCATCTCATCGCCAGACCAGGATTATTTCTGTGACCCTACCCGCCTCATGGCTCAAGGCTCAGGATGGCTCGAGCTTGAGCGGCCGTAAGCAGAAGAAGAAGCTGGCAAGAGAGCTCCGATTGGCAGAACACGAAATGGGAACGCTAAAGCTGAAGCACCCGTGAAGATGAAGAGCTGGAGGAGGGCGTGTGGGGGGGGATACTTTACACAGTGCACAAACAAAACGCCGTGCTGGGAAGAATCCATTGGATTGGATCCGATCGAAGGGAGTGCTGATGTGCGGTGCTGCGCTGCTCTGCGCGGCGCTGCGTTGTGTGACTGGTGTCTGTTAGGCGGAAAGGCGGGTGGTGGTGGTGCGTGCCCGCAGCCCACTGCCTTCAGGGAGGGCTGTCATCCACCTCCCATCCATGGATCAGACTGACCCGCTGGCTGGCTGGGGGCTTGGCTCCAGTCACTCGCTTGTTCGCTGACTTTGCCCGCCGCCCGCCGCCCGCTTTGTCTGCTCTGCTCTGCTCTGCTGTGTGTCCTCCGTGGCTCCCCATTCTTTGTCACTTGATCATCATCGAGCCTTGACCCAGCACTCCATTTCATTTCCTCCCCCATTCAAACCCAAACCACGGTTCGACCCCGAACTCACCCACCACCGGCCAGCACGCCAACCGCTCTCGCGACACTCGACACATATCGCCGTTGTCGCCGCCGCATTCGCTCGCTATTCTATTTCACCGTATCACGATTTTCAACCGCTGCAGGCGTTGGGGACGAGTGCATGTTGCGGGAAACGGGGCCTGCACAGCGATAGCCGTCGGCGGTTTCGCGCGACTCTCGCCACCACAAACCGCTCACTCGAGCCTCACTTCGCCGACTCTCCGCCATCAGCTGCATCGCCGAATCTCACTGAAGCGATACAGTCGCCCATCGCGCTCCCCATCACCGACTTTTCCCTCGCCTCCCTTGCCCGACCGGCCCGTGGTCGCAGCTCGAGAAAATTGCTCCATTCTCATCCCTCGGCTCGTCCGCCTCCACAAAGTCGACCATGTCCTTCCACCCCCAGACACCACAGAGTCCCTCGCAATTGTCTCCCAGTACCATGGAGCCTCTCTCAAGCATGAACAGCTCAATGACCTCAATCACCACAGCCTTGCCGACGCCCGCACACAGCGTCAACGGTAGCTCCCTCCCTGCCGAGACCCCTCACGACGTCACCATGGGCGACGACTCGCCTCAAAAACGCAAGCGCGCGCTTGACGATCTCGGAGATCGAGAGCAGAAGAAAGTCCACATCGAGGATCGCAGACTTGGTATCAAAGACCTCCACCAGGATGTCGGTGAGAAATACCTGCTTTGCCAAACTCGTAAGACTCCCTTCTCTCCATGGCACACCCGCACCCGCTTGAGGACGACAATGGACAATGCTTTTTAGCAAGCTCTTTCCGCCATGTGACCCATGTGACCCCCTTATTCCCGTGGAATCAATATCTTTTCTCTAGATCTGTTTGAGATTAACCTTGTCTTCCGCTAGCGCTCACGCCGACCTTTCCCAACGTCTCTGACGACCTCTACGAGGTCTTCAACCTGACGGGTATTGCCGCTGAAGTAGCCCGCACGCTTCCCAACGGCGAGAAGAACGCCATCCGGAAGACGTATAAGGGGCATATCAAGAAGCTCGGTGTCAACGGCCACTTCGATTCCGTCAGGAGAGAGCTGAACGACGAGAATGGCTTCATGGCTCTGATTCACTGGCCCGAGCAAGAATGGAACATGCGCCACGTCAAGGGCAGAGAGATCGAGCTAGGCCTGTCGGCGGAGACACAGGCCAGCCTGCGGAAGGCCATGACGATGGCCAAGGGTCCGATCAGGAAGGACGTCTGGGACAGTTCAGTGCTGGGCGACCTGTCGTCGGAAAAGCTCGCCGCCGCAAGCAAGCAGTCGTCTTCTGCGAGACCAACGGCGCCCAACACTCCTGCTCACTTCTCCGGCGCTGGAGTACCGCGGCCCAAAGGTCAACTGCCCTTGGGCCAGGATGGCAGACCTCGTCGGAGTATCAAGAAGCGGAGCTATGGAGACAGCAGTTTCGAGGGATACGGAGAGGGCTTCCCTGACGATGACGGAGGTGCAAACAGTGGCTACTCTACTGGCGAAGGCGAGGGCGCCGGCCAGAAGAGGAGGAAGAAGGTGCTTACTGGCCTGTCTGATGTTGCTCGAGTCTTTACTGACACGCCGCAGAACACTGGACCTGCCCAGTTCTCTACTCCGCCAGTACGGCAGCAGAGCTATGGCCCAGGGATGGTCGGGGCTTAGGAAGACGCCGAGTTTTCAGACGAATCTCGTGCCCGTGCCCGGGGGGGTCGGGGCGGTTGGTGAACCGAGACTGGGTTCGCCACCAGAAGCAGACACCGGATAGCTCCGTTCGATACTCTCTATACATAGGCAGGGGGTGATACCCGAGGAACCTTGTCGTCGTCGATTCGAGCAATCAACAGCGGCAGCTTCTCACAGCCACAGCAGCCGAGAGGACACACGAGTATCGACGAGCCCGATCACGCAACCTTTTGAGGCGAAAGCCTCGTTGTTGGATGTTGCGTCAGTGGTGGTTCTGCAGGGCCAGCACAACATCCCTGTTTGTGTTGGCAAGATATATACATCTTCCGACCAAAATTTTTGACAAACATTAGCATGGCGTTTCAGGCGGTCTTTTTTTTAAATTATTTATTTTTTCTGCCTTTGATGATACAGGTCGTATTACTCGGAAGAGCATGAGGGGAGAGGGTATTCACATTGACACTCTTCAAAAAGTAAGATACAGAGAGAGATGCAACTGCTTTTTTTTTCTTTTTCCCCTTTTCAAATACCCGCACAGAGTTGGACCGTGGGTGAATCTGCGTATTGGTCTGTGTTTTGGCCATTTTGGCTCTCTCGTTGGCCCCCTTTTTGATGGGCTTGATGCCTCTGTTAAGTTCAAGTAGGCTCGCATGCAGAACAATCAGAATAAAAAACAAATGCATTGAATCAGTTGCCCTGGCCTGGCCTCTGCTCTGACATGTTGGCCACCACGATGATGACAAGTTTATGTAATTACTTGTTCATGAAAGAACGAAGGAAGAAAAAGAAAAGGGGGGTATTTTGTTACATCTCGTCCATCCTTTTGCTTGCCACCATGCATGCATGCATTCATTCCCCCACCCCTCCCCTTTTTACGAACTTAATCCAGCTCGAGTATGGCCCTCCGGCTCGCATCCTCGTGCACCCAGCTGACGATCCGGCTGCCCACGTCCCCGACCAGCCTGTCGTACTGCGGGCCGGGGAAGAACAGGCCGCAGTGGGCGCCGACCTCGTCCGTGTCGGCCATGTAGATGGGGACCCAGGTCTCGTCGGCGGCGCCGTTGCGCTTGCCGGGCAGGGTGCAGAACTTGCGCTCCTTGGGGGGCTTCTTCTTCTTCTCCTTCTCGGCCTCGGCCTTGGGCTTGCCGCCTGCAGGTGGTGGTGTAGCCGTAGCCGCGTGGCTCTCGCCCTCGGGCGGCTGGTCGACCGCTGCCGTCGACGACGACCCCGTCGCCGAAGACGGCGTGGCAGTATTATCCTCCTCCTCCTCCTCCTCCTCCTCCTCCTCCTCCTCCGCCGCCGCCGCTGAAACCTGATGCTGCTGCCGCCGCGCCGCCTTCTGCCTCCTCTCCTTGTCCTTGTCCTTGTCCTTGTCCTTGTCCTTGTCCTTGTCCTCCTTGTCGCGCCTCTTCTGCTCCTCCCTCAGGCGCTTCTCCGCCTCCTTGTGCGCCCGCCTCTCCCGCTTCTCGACCAGCTTCGCGCGCTCCCGGAGGGCCCTGTCGCGGTCCTTGACGGCCTTGTCGTACGCCTTTTGCACCCGCCTGCTCTCCTTCTCGGCCTGCTTGCGGGCGTCCTTGTCGGCGATGCCGGCCAGGTCCGGCAGCTGCGGCGGGGGCGGCGCGTCCGGGATGGGGGGAAGCAGTACGGACGTGGATGGCGATGATGACGATGGCGGCGGTGCCAGTCTGAGTGTGGTGCTGGTGGTGGGTTCCTCCGGGTCGGCTGGTGTGGCATCTTGTTGTTGCTTGGGGTCTGCGGGCGACTCTTCTTCTCCTCCGGTGACTTCCGCCGCAGCAGGGGTAGCGCTGGCATTGCCCTCCGCGCCGCCCGAGCGGAGGGGGTCGGTCTGGGAATACGGGGGCGGGTGGCCGTCGGCGGCCGGCGAGATGGTCTCCAGCACCTGGACCCGCGCGCCGTCGCTGTGGTCCTCGACAGAGATCCTCGGCGTGGACGACGACCGCGAGGCCGACCCGCCGCCGCCGCCGCCGCCGCCGCCGCCGCCGTCCACCGAGCTGCGCGCCGAGGCAGACGGCGAGCCTGCTGCTCCTCCTCCTCCTCCTCCTCCGACCGAGGCCCGTTCAGCCGGCTTCAGATGCGTGCCCGCCCGGGGCCTGCTGCCGGCGCCGCTGGGGGACGGGCTCCGGCTCCGGCTCTTGTCCTTGCCCTTGTCCTTGTCGTCCTTCTTGATCCGCCCCGTCGAGAGCGTGTAGTAGTTGACGAAGCGCACGCGGGCAACATCCGCCCTCCTGCCGCTGCTACCCGCCGCCGCCGCGGTAGCAAAGTCGTCCACGTCCTCGAGGCGGCGGAGGCGGGTGTAGCGCTGGTTCATGCCGACGTAGTCGGCCAGGCAGGCGCCGAACTCGAGGTGGTTGACGATGTGCTGGCGGGCGGCGCTGACGATGCCCTCGGGCTGGTGCTTCTTGGCGAAGTGGACCATGTTGCTGAACCAGCCGCGGTCCTGCAGCAGGCGGTCGTTGAAGAAGGCCGGGTTGAAGTAGGGGTCCGACGAGCTCTGCGCCTGCGCCTGCGACGATGACGACGACGACGTCGCGGTGTTGTTGTTGGTGGTGGTGGGGGACAGCACGCTGGAGCTTGCCGGGGACTGGACGCCCGAGAGAGAGGTCATCTCGTTGTAGAGCGACGGGTCTGGCGAGATCGAGCCGGACACGTTCTGGTTCAGGGTCAGGCCGTCCATGCCCTGGGAGGCGGCGCCCGCCACATCTGGCTTTGGCTCTGGGGCCTTGCGGAACAGGCTCGCGATGCCGGAGACGATGATGCCCGGGTGAAGGCCCAGGAAGGGCGAGTCGAGCGATATCGTGCCTAGGATGCGGTGCTGAAAGGGGTAGTCCACTTGCGGATCTTCTTGAGGCTGACCTTGTATATCAGTAATCATGCGTGATGGTGTCTTGAGAGAGAGAGAGGAGTTTTTGCAACGAACCATCAACACCACTTCGGCAGCGAGCAGGCCGCCCATCGAGTGGCCGACGAGGACGACGTCCGTGTCGCCGTGCTCGTGGGGCGCGAGCCAGTCGCCAAAGTTGTCGCGGGCGACCTCGATGGCCTTGTACGTCTTGTAGCGCGGGTAGATCTTGGAGTGGACGACGTGGGTCTCGGCCAGCGCGGCCCGGAGGAAGCCGTGCACGTGGGCCGGGAACGAGCGGAAGGAGCTGTCGTTGCCCATGAAGCCGTGGACGTAGACGACCAGGAGCGTGCGCCTCGCGCCGGCGCCGGCGCCGGCCTCGTCCAGGGAGGGGACCAGGGACTGCGTCGACGAGGTGCGGGGGTCGTCGCGGGAGCGCCAGAGCGCGTGCGCCGGCGCGTCGTCTTCCATGTAGGCCGTCGGGGTGAGGACCTGCAGCGACGAGCGGCTCGACGATGGCGAGAGCCTCCCCATGGTGATGTCTCCGAAGGGGTTTGTCCACAGGGAGTTATCAATGATCAAATGTTCTGGGGGTCTATTGATATCACAGTTTGGTCTGTGTGTGGAGGAAGAGAGAGGGGCTTCAAGATTGCGATGCGGTCATGGCACTGTGAGTGCTGAGATCAAAGGCATTCATGAAATGCGAGTTTTGAATTTGATGATCGGAATCCCATCTGTTTGCATATTGTGACAAGAAGCTTCCCATGGCAAGCCCCTGATGGCAAGATTATTGAGGTTCTAGCATGTAGTTGCGTTCATTCTGTTGAGCTCCCCCGCAATCAGGGGCGCTAATACAATAGGTGTGGACGTCAAAAGAGCCTACCTATTACAGCGTGGCCAACAGTACACGCCTGCGCCAGGACAGTGACGTGGCCGTGTATCGCTGCCAGGTTGCTGTTGTCATTGCCTCATTATTGTTTCCTATGAGATAATCATGAAACGGGATTCCCAGATTCTGCTGGACAGGACCGAGTTGATGAGATGACGGGCGAACAAGTGCGTGAATGAACAACCGCAAAAAAGAGAGAAAAAACTTGGAAACAACCTTGCTCGTCAGGTTTCTGACGGGGAACCAATCATCCGGATGACCACATGATTTGTTCTGAACAAAGAGGTTGAGATGTCATTCCCAGGATGTTACCGCAACCCAGCATCGGTACTGGGGAATTCTAAGCAGACAAGTTCTCTATCATTGTAACAGAATTGGGCAAGGTAAAGCATCGGGAACTAAGGCATGTACCGAGACGACAAAGTTTACCCAGCGAGCCGACCAGGTATCTATCGTCATCCCGTCTTGTCGATGTCGCTTCCGGTGGCGTGGCGTCCACCCCAAATGGCCCCGGGGACCCTTGAGTGATTGTCCTGAGCCAGGCATGCAAGGGGTGGTGCACCAGCAGAGGAAACACACGCTCGACACGCTCTAGACCATGCACTCGTGGTGGAGCGAAGCAACGGTTACCTTGTCGGCTGCAGAACAGCAAGCAAGCCGGACCCTGCCACGATGGACTGGTCCGAAGTGAGGACGACATTAAAGGACCTGCGGGCATCCGCTCCCGCACCCGTACGTCGACTGTTGCCCGCCGCACCAGGCCAACTGCACTGCTCCCGTGCTGTAGGTAGCACACGTTGAAATGCGAGGCTTCGATAATTGTGCCTCTGCATGCAAACGACGATGGAATGGCTGGACCTTGTGGCCGACCACTGCCTGCAGGTCATTCCACACAGAGTCGTGAAGCATGCGGCCGGTTTTGCTTTGTTATTTTAGGGTGCGATTCTCGCGTGGCCCGTGTTGGGGGGGGGAGGGGGGCGCTATTAATTTTGGGGCGCGGCTTGGCATTTTGGCACAATCTGTGCCTGAATACGAACTCGGGGTGTTTTCTCTCTTCTGTCTTCTGTGCTTTCGGGAGCTAGACCGAAGCCAGAGTGCACATGCTGCTGGACTTGGCCAGGTCTAGTCCACCAAGCCAAAAGAGCCACAAACGGGAAAAGTAGAGCCATGGGGGCCATCAATGATGGAGTTTACGTACCTAACCTAACTACAGATGGTGATGGTGATGGT